CGAGCCACCGAACAGCGCCCCTCAGGACCACGACAATGGAGCTCTGCCGGAGCAGTGTACCCCGCGGTATGTGGCGACTGGTTTCTTCTACAGCGGAGGTCTCGCGGCCCATCATGATGTTGACCCCTCCAACGACGAGACTCCTACCACAATCTAATACCACTCCAATCTGACCACTTCACCTACCCTAAAGATCCCATCCTCGTGCCCTTTCGCTGTATCAAATACACTCAGATAAGCCGCGCTTGGGAAGCTAGGGTTGTTGAACGACACCAGGGCCTCATTAGGGCCCTATAACCACACTTTCAACCAAAGCCGCCGAAGACACCAACCAAGCCCATCTCATCTTACCAATATTCCCCGACTCCTTTGATCATACCCTCCACTGCTCTGTTGCTGGAGGTTGCCAAGTCCTGCGATAACAGCCGTACCTCACTTCGCTCAAATCCAGTTACCGTTACCTGTGGCTATCATTCCTGCATCTTTACGAGTAACTCCACCCATACCATCGCTCCAAGGGTCGGGGGCAAACTCCAGCTCTTCGCCCAATGAGGGGTTGAGACTCTTATCAGTGAAACGGTAATTCTCAGCCAGTGGGGTCCTCAAGTCCCTCTTGGGCCTGCCCTCAGGAGATGCTCTTGTCCCCGGGTTCATGCCCGAACCCGGGGATCCGCTAGGGGCACGAGTTGGAAGCGAATGGACGATGCCCACGTTAGCAGGTAGGCCTGCTAACGCAGTCGGCCGAGCAGACGTAGTGCTCGTGGGTCTATCAGTACTGCCAGGACCATCAAGAGAGTCCAGACTATCGCGCCGTGGTCCATCTAGAACACCGCCAGAATCCAATGCTTCCCCTGGGCTACCACGGAAGCCTCCAACCGCGGGGGAACCTCCGCCTGCACGGCTGAGAGGGTATCCGTCCTGACCACTAACGACTCCATCTAAGACGCCACGGGATGCACCGTCTAAGGCTCCATTGGGGCTACCAAGGGCATCTCTACCAGCACTGTTAGAGGAGTCTTCACCAGCACCCCCAAACGGATTAGCATCGGCACCGCCGAGCGGGTTAGCGTCAGCACTCCCAAAGGGGCTAGCGTCAGCACTCCCAAAGGGGCTAACGTCAGCATTCCCGGAGGGGTTCCCACTGGCACCTTCCGGAGGCCTGTCGGCAGCATTATCCGATCCATCTCCTCCTCCTCCTCCCTCACCACCAAAGGGGTTCGACATCGAACTATCGGGGGCTACCGGGGGGTCTTCCACCCATGAATCCGATGTTTCCTCACCATCTCCAGGACGAGAGTCTTCACCCCAAGCAGTTGGCTCCTCCCCAGAGTCGCCCTCACCCAAGCCACTATTATCCCCAGCTAGCGAGTCGCCTCCCCAACCACCGACCTCCCCTGGAATATCCTCTGCAGCATCAACGTCCTCGGACCCACCCCAGGCGCCCTGAAGTAGAATGCACCCAGCAAACGTCAGATCCAACCTACCCCAAAGGGGTTCACATCCTCAAACGGGTTGCTCCTGAAAAGATGAAAATCATATAAACC